GTCCTAACCCCAAATTTATAGCTTAGTAATTAGATTACTAAGAGAGTTAAAAGATTCCTAGGCGATCAGTAAAGACAATTCTTTGGACTAGCAACAAAATTTGTTAGAAATCATCAGCTGCTTTTAATCATTCAAGTATTTATAATTTATAACAACAGTTTCACATAAAGGGTTTAGGGCCATACTTCCTATAACCAAGCAACTGTAGTGTTTGACCGTTTCTCATGTTTTATGGTCAGTGTCAAAACACCAGTGTTTGTGTTCATTAAGATACATTTGCTATTGAGAAAGAAATTAAAATGATTTCTGAGAAGATTTAAGAAGTGCAGGGTCAAGGATGAGAAGAAAACATTCTCTTGCCTTAACACATTTTAAGGGGAATGTATGTATGTAAAAGCCATGAAACCATACTTACTGAACTTGAAATCATTTTGCAAATTTCCACGACAAGTCTGATTTATATGGCTTGAACATTTTGCTTTTACTCTTTTTCTCCTTCACAAACTTTGCCAGCTCCTAAAGATCTGCTTGGAGACTCACTGTGCTAATAGGCAAAGTTGGCCTTTCCTGCGCTTCCCTTAAAGTAGTCCATCCTGAAACACTGACCTTTTAGTTTAATAACAGTTTTATTTGAGAAAATGTTCAGATCCTAAGAGCTGAAGAGTGTTTTCAGAAAGGCCACTTTAAATACTGGTCTCCAAATGGTGTATCTTTTCCCCTTATGCACTTTGGATCTGACCTATCCAAAGAAATATATTTTTGCTTTCTGTATTCTATTGATTTAAAAACAAATAACATGAAGCTTAGATTTGCTAAAAACCCATTACCACCCTGGTTTATTTTCCCATCTGTGCTTTGATTTGCTATTTTAGATTTTAAACTTTTTATCCTAGGTCATATTTTTCTTTTGTTATCATAAATTCTTGATTGTAGCTAAGGCAATTACATTTTTGAATTTGACCCTGGACTTGAGACCCAAAAGTTGTGAATTTTTTTCTTCTTTTCTGTAAGTAGTGAGGGCCTTAGAAAGATAGCTGTGCTTGGGTCCCTTTACATACCAGAAGTGATGTCACCTAGCTGGTCACTGAGCGTGTCTTCAGCAGCCCTGGAGTTTTGCCCATTCAGTTGCTGGTCCTTTCTTGTCCCCACTTCCCTCCCTGTCTCATAGCCTCATCTGTCTTTTCCTCACCCTACAGCAGGCGGTGGGGCTGATAACGAACGGCTGACCGAAGGGTGCAGGGAAAGAAACATCTACCTTTTAAGCTGAATTTCCGTGTGCCCACACCACTGCCTCTGAAGGGCCTCGCCCATTTGGCTTCATGCCCATCCACCAAAGGTGGCCTCCTTGTTCTACCAGTTGATCACATCAGAGTACAAAGCTCACTGCTCATTTTGGATTTTCCTCCATAGGTAGCCCCTATGTCACAGGCATAATATGCACTATGAAAAGATGACATTGTGCTAAGTGAAATAGGTTAGATGCAGAAAACCAAATCCTGCATGATCTCGCTTATACATGGACATAGAGAATAAATGGAGAAGAGGACAATGGTTGCCAGAGGCTGTGGATGGAGTGAGGAATAGGGAGATGTTGGTGAAAGCACATTAACTTGACATTATAAGGTAGGTTCTGGTGATATAGAACTTAAAGCAGAGTGACTTTATAATATTGTATCATTTACTTGAAATTTGACAAGAAAGTGGATTTTGGGTGTCCTCACTCCATATACACACAGATGATGAATATGTGTGGTAGTTGATATGTTAGTTTGATTATAGTAATTATAGCATAATTTGTATTTAAGTGAAATAATCACATTGTACATCTTGAATATATACAATTTTTTGTCAGTTATATCAATAAAGTTGGAAAGAAACTTTAAACAACAAAAAGATAATGTGAGACTTTCAGCTCATTTTCAAAGCTGATCTGTTAACTATACTTAAGAGTTGGTAGACTGAAGTCTCACAGAAGCCTAGTTTTAATTGACAAATTAAATTTTGCTTGAGAATCTGGTTGAGTTTTGCTTGAGAAAACTTTTGGTGTTGTAATTGGAACTAATCTAGGAGAAGCAGCATGATTTTAGATAGGTAGGTCTACAGTGTGTTGATCCTAATTAGCATGCTTAACTTCAGAGTGTAGATAGGTAGGACTAATTAGATTAATATTTATTTCAATATTTTCTTCTTATGGAGTTGCTGTCTGCGTACAATTTGAAAAGTTAGCATCACATTGTTTTGCTCATTTCTGAGAGGTAGATGGAAATGTGGAAATCATCACCTTGCAAAGTGCGTAGTCTAGAACTTCGTAGCCCACAGGTACACCTAACCTAGGGTGAGTATCCAAAAGTCAAAAGTTGAATATATTTACCCAAAGTCTGGCTGGTAGAAAACCAAACTATTTAGATTCTTTGGCAAGCTATTATGCTGGCAATTTCTCAGCAATTATTTGTATTGTTTTAAAACATTTAATTGTGGAAAAACTTAAGATTTTCCTGAATACTTACAGAATTTTCTGTCCAATTGTTTCTCTAGTTTTTGTGTGACCATTTCAAAGTAGAAACCTTAAAATTCTTCTGTTTGGATTTTGGCAAACGAAATGCTCACCACATATTTAACCTTATGTGCCTGATTTCTTTTGGTTAGCATAATGTTTTTAAGATTTATCCATGTCATAGCATGTATCAGTACTTCATTTCCTTTTTATGGCCTATTAGTATACTGTGAGAGCACCTTCCTGTATCCATTCATTAGCTGACGGGCATTTGGTTGTCTCCACTTTGGGGATTCGTGAATAATACTGCTATCAATATTCCTGAACAAGTTCTTGTGTAGACATGTGGTTTCAATTCTCTTGAATATTTACCTTACCTGAGAGTGGAATCACGGGGTCTAAGGTTATTCCATTTTGCAGTTTTAGAAATGCCAAACTGTTTCCCAGGAGCTGTGCCATTTTATACTCCTGGCGGCTATGGATGAGGGTTCTAGTTTCTCCATCCTCACTGACACTTGTTATTGTGTATCATTTTGATGATATAAGTTTTGAAATGGTGTGTCATTTTGTGTGTGTGTGTGTGTGTGTGTGTGTGTCTTAGAAAGGTTTTAAATTTAAAAAAAATTAAATATACTTTTTTAGTTGTAGATGGACACAATTCCTTTATATTATTTATTTATTTGTATGTGGTGCTGGGGATTGAACTCAGAGCCTTGCACATGTAGGCCAGCACTCTGCCACTGAGCCACAACCCCACCCCTAGGGAGGTTTTAATTTTATTTAAGGTTTTTAAAGCTATGTCAGTGAGGTTTTGATGTGCCTGGTGAGAAATGCTATTGAGCAGCTTTTATGTGCTCATTGGCCATTCTTACATCTCTTCTTTTGGGAAATGCCTGTTTATGTCCTTTGCCCATTTTTAATTGGGGTGTCTTTTTATTGTTCAGGGGTAAGAATTCTTTGTATATTGTACTATGCATACTCTAGAAGAGTTCTCTTGTCAGAGACACTGTTCTGTGGGTTCTGTTTTCACCATTATCCTTTTCTTCTTCTTTTGTCTGAGGGCTTGAACCCAGGGGCACTTAACTGAGTCATATCCTCAGCCCTTTTTATTTGTTACTTTGAGACAGGGCCTTAGTACGTTGATTAGGGCCTCGATAAGTTGCTGAGGCTGGCCTCGAACTTGCCGTCTCCTATCTCAGCTTCCTGAGCTGCTGGCATTACAGGCGTGCACCATCCTGCCCCTCTTTATTTTCATCATCTTGATGGTGATCCAGCAACACTATGCTTTGTTGTTTTCTGATAGTCCACCACTGAGAGAAAACATCCTTATTGCATTCATATATATTTTTGCTACTATTCAAGGTTAGCCAAGTATTTAAGGATTTTGCATATCCTATTAAGTTTTTGCATATGCTCTTAGGAAAGGCACATAGAATGTCTAGTTCATCACGTAATGTATTCAGAGAGAAGAGACAGTTCTGTCTCGTTTTCCATCTAATAGGTCCAACCATTTGAAATAATGCTTGGTTTCTGTGTGTATTCCTAGATTCTCCTAAATGGTTCTGGTACTCTTTTGCTCATATTTTAGGCAGCAAGTTTCTAATGAAGAAGAGATACTATTTGCATATTTCCCAAGGCTCATGAGGAAGTATGTAAAACTTGTCCATTTTATTTACCATCATAGTTGTAAGAATCTTTACAAAACATATCACATATCAAACATAGTCTTCGAATTGCAAAGGCCAGATGTTTCAAATCAAGTCACCAGGTATTTAGGAAAGCTCCAGCTGTGTCCTCAGCAGTGTTCTGTGTCTCCCTCCAGATGTTCGCTCTTGAATTCGAATGACATGTATTCCAGAAAACATGATTTCCAGATTTTTTAAAAATATTTTTTTAGTTATACATAGGCATAATATCTTTATTTTTTTTCTTTATTTTTACGTGGTGATGAGACTCGAACCCAGTGCCTCACATGTGCGAGGTAAGCGCTCTGCCGCTGAGCCACAACCCCAGCCCTGTTTCCAAATTTTCATAAATCACAAATGTCTTTTTTTATAAATCATGAAAAAAGAATGTAAATACAATGATCTCCTCATTGTAGTAAATGACTTTCTTAAATAAATTCAGTTATTGAAGTGAGAAGATTTTGGTATCCTTTCTTCTCTGAAGTACATTACAGCTTGGCCTCCATTAACACACAATTGTTAGACTTTAATGGTGGGACATCATTTTTAAAAATTTGTACCTAGTGGATCAGTCCCCAGTGGGCAGTAAGCAGCTCCTTGAGTTTATTATGCATTTTGGCAGGTGTGGAAATTTCTGGGTCACCAGGAGACTCTTGTTAAATTACTCTTGAAGTGTAGTGCTTGGGAGGTTTCAAGGAGACACCGACCACGTGGCAGAACTTGTGCACTTAGATCCTTCTCATCTTGGTGTTCCTGAGGGTTTTCTTTCCTTTGTTTTTAGGAAGTCACTTATTTTATCTCCTGCTCTTTGTTGATTCTAGTTTCTGATGAAGAACTAAAAAGAAAGGTCGCTGAGGAGCTGGCATTGGAGCAAGCCAAGAAGGAATCTGAAAGCCAGAAGCGGTGAGTCTCACGTTATTGCAGAGAGATGCTGATGGACTGGCTGTATGCATCATACATTTTTAGAGAAAAATGATTGTAATAAGACATATCATTAGCTTATGACTGTACTTGAGAATGTGCTACATGTATGAAATTGGCTACTTTTTGGTTTTGGATTGTGCTTATTAGTTCTATGTTACCTATTTCCAAACTTTTTAAATTATAAATTATCATTGTATCTCTTAATAGTTCTTAGTTACATGAACAGTGAACCTTGTTTTCTCAATATATGAGAATAATTTTGAGGATTCCCCAGGAGTTTCTAAATCTATTAATGAATGTATTTAAAGATTGAAAATTAAATGCCTGCTATTCTGCTATTATGTATTCAAGTAAATAATATTGTAGTTAATGATGAGTAGCATATGTCATACATAGTACCCCATTAACAAAGAGCACCAATTAGTAATAGGCTCACTTAAAAAATTAAGATTTTGGGCTGGGGATGTGGCTCAAGCGGTAGCGTGCTCGCCTGGCATGCGTGTGGCCCGGATTTGATCCTCAGCACCACATACAAACAAAGATATTGTGTCCGCCAAAAACTAAAAAATAAATAAATATTAAGAATTCTCTCTCTCTCTCTCTTTAAAAAAAATTAAGATGTTATATACATTTGTAATGTTGGAAATCAAAATTTTCTATAATTCCTTCTTGTGGTGATAAACTCACATTTTATTCATTTTATTACTCTAGATTTTTTCTATTACATGCTTCTGTTTTATAGTTGAATTATTAATGGTATTATGAATAGTAACTAAAAGAATTCTGTAGTAATAAAAATGGCATGGTATTGGCACCAAAATAGACTTGTAGACCAATGGTACAGAATAGAGGACACAGAGACAAACCTACATAAATATGGTTATGTCATACTAGAAAAGTTGACAAAAACATTCACTGGAGAAAAGATAGCCTATTCAATAAATGGTGCTGGCAAAACTGGAAATTTATATATAGCAAAATGAAATTAAATCTCTCTCATCCTGCACAAAAATCAACTCAAAGTGGATCAAAGACTTTGGCACTAGAACAGAGACCCTGCACCTATATAGAAGAAAAAATAGGCCCAAATCTTCACCACGAGCGATGGCCTAGGATCTGACTTCCTTAATAAGACTCCTAAAGTATAAGAAGTAAAACCAAGAATCAACAAATGGGATGGATTCTAATTAAAAAGCTTCTTCTCAGTAAAGGAAACAATAAAGTGAGGAGAGAGCCTATAGATTGGGAGAAAATCTTTACCTCATGTACCTCCAATAAAGCATTAATCTCTAGGATATATAAAGAACTCAAAAAACTTCACACCAAAAAACCCAATCAATAAATGGTCTAAGGAACTGAACAGACACTTCACAGAAGAAGAAATACAATTGATCAACAAATGTATGAAAAAGTGTTCAACATCTCTAGCAATTAGAGAAATGCAAATCAAAACTACTGTAAGATTTCATCTCATTCCTGTCAGAATGGCAATCATCAAGAATACAGTCAACAATAAATATTGACAAGGATGTGGGGGAAAAGGTACCTTTATACATGGCTGGTGGAATTGCAAATTGGAGCAGTCAATATGGAAAGCAGTATGCAGATTCCTCAGAAAACTTGGAATGGAGCCACTATTTGACCCAGCTAATCCACTCCTTGGTTTATACCGAAAGGACTTAAAATCAGCATACCATAGTGACGAAGCCACATCAATATTTATAGCAGCTCAATTCACAATACCTGGACCATGGAACCAACCTAGGTGTCCCTCAATAGATGAATGAATAAAGAAAATATAGTATATATGCACTCAATGGAATATTAGCTTTAAAGAAGAGTGAAATTATGGCATTTGCAAATAAATGGTTGGAATTGGAGAATATCATGCTAAATGAAATAAGCTAATCCCACAAAACCAAAGGGTGAATGTTTTCTCTAATATGCGGATGCTAATTCATAATAAGGTGGGGGACACTAGGGAAGAATAGAGTTAGCTTAGATTAGGTAGAAGGAAGGGACTGGAGGGGATGTGGGGAGAGGAAAGATAGTAGAATGAAACAGACATTATTACTGTCTGTATACATGTGACTACATGACCAATATGATTCTGCAACATGTATACTCAGAAAAATGAGAAATTATATCCTATCTATGTATGACATATCAAAGTACATAAATGCATTCTACTGTCATGTAGAACTAATTAAAACAAATAAAAAATTTAAAAAAATAAAAAAAGAATGCTCATTAAAGTATTTTTGTAATAGTAGAAAATTTGAAGCAATGCAAAAACCATCCTGTGGGGCTGGACGATGAGCTATGGTTCGTGCTTACAGTGGAATACTAGTCAGTCAAGTAGATCCTTATGTGCTGATTAAAAAAGACGGGGAAGAGCTACAAACTGAAAAAAAGCAGCGTGCAAAACATAACAGATTATTTTTCTTTTTTCTTATTTGGCAAAAAGTACTACTTTTTAAAGACTTAAAGGATATACTTATTCATAAAAATGTGTGAGTACATTTTAATCCAAATAGAGTCAAGTACTTCCCATCTGTGCTATTTCTGACATTTGCATATAGCACAGAGCATTATGTGGTCTTGTGAATGTATTTCTTCTGTGAGCACCAAACACATGCCTGCCTCTGAGTTGATGCTGTTTTGTTTTGAACTGTGCAACTATTTTGTTTGTGAGAATTAATGTAAAGAATCTTTGAATTGGATTGTCCTCACTAGCTATAGGACCTTCAACATTTGATATAACCTCTTTGGGCCTGAAGTCTTTCATCCCCATGATGAGGGGTTTGAAAAATGTTCTCTAATATGTTTTCTCTCTTGACAAACGGCTAAGCATGCCTACAATTTGCACAAACATATGGAACAGAATGAGTTGTAGATTAAGACCACCATTTTGTCAGGAAGTAGAAAAGGCTTATGGCTTAGGGTTTAAAAAATCAAGATGTAATTAGCACTGCCAAAAGGGTCTGTATATATTTCAGTAGATTCCCATGTAGCACTTTGTAATTATTTAATTGGGTTAGTTTGATGGAGTATATAATTAGATAGTGAAGTTTAAATATTAAAAAAAATTTAAATCACTTTCATTAAGAAGCAAAGAAAATCAATAAGTTCTGGTAGCATTTCTTGTCTTTGAATTTTTAGTATTTTTAATTGAATTTTATTTTAATAAGGATTTTTTTTGGGGTTAGTCTTGGGGTTACACTGCTTAATTCTACAACACATAGGTTTGTCTTTTGTTGTTGTTGTTCTGTTGTTTTTTTTGTTTTGTTCCCCCCACTCACCATATGCTGTAGGCTTTTTGTTACATTAACCCTCACTGTGATGCGTCTGTGTTTTTCCCTCCCTCGCTCTTCAACTCCTGTTCACTCTGCCTAGGTCCATGAAAGGGAAAGGGCAGATGAGACGAATAAGAGGTGCCAGTGAGAGCCAATTTCATATCTCACGTGGAAGGGGCTGGCAGCCTACCTACAACCTGGACAAATGACTATTGATAAAGAATTTATTTTCTGTCACCTTTAAGGAGAACAGAGGGTGGTACAGCCTTTATATTATTTCTTCTTAGTTTTTTAAAATGTTTTGTTTGAAGCTTCCTTCAAGAAAACTTCCAGCTGTCAAATCTTGACAAAAAGCATGTGTTCATCTATATGATAGTTCTTAGAAGAATCAATAGCTTTCTTTTTATTTTTTCCCTACTAAAGAAGAAACTTTAAAAAAAACATTAAGAAAGTTTTCTGTTCAGTCTTTTAAATGCAACTTTTTGGAGTGGCAGAGCATTTATACATTATTGTGTCTGTTGCTTAAATTTGAATAAAGCCTTGTAAGCAGTTTTGGAAGATGGTTCTCGTGCTGTAGTGCTGTCACGCATATATGCCCACATTTTGTCTTTTCACCTCAAATGCACAGAGAATTGTCAACTGTGTTCTCCAGCATGTAGGATCTAAACTTAGGCACATACCCATGCCGGTCTCAGATAAACCTGTTTGAAAAGGACTTTTAATTACAGAACACTTTAATTTCATTTAAAACTAGAGATGAACACAAGGAATTGACATAACGCATCACACACGGTTTTAGTTTTACAACCTTGTTGCATGTACATCCCTACTCACTCTCCCAGGTGGTGAGTGTGAGAAGCAGTACAGTTTTAACAGGCTGGTGAGCTTTGTGGCAGGGAGAAATCCTGAAATGTCTTCTATCAGGATAGCTTAAATAAGGACCTTGTTCCAGTTAGATTTCTTTGATGGAAAGACTGCAACTTAACTCTGGTTAACTTATGAAGCAAGGGAATTTTTAGAGGCATATTGGACAGTTCTAAAAAATCAAAAGGAAGACCAGAGAACCATTAGCTAGGGAAGAGCTGGATACTACTAAAACTACACAGTGGGAAGTAATTCCTCCAAAGGAGACCAGGAGGAGGGCTCTGTAACAAAGGGGAATGGATGGTGGGTGGCTGAATTTCATTGAACTGAAGATGCTATCGATTTTAAGATGTACCACTAAGAAAAAAATTTCTGCAAATTATAACGCAATAGTTTGTCTCCTAGAGTTTCCTTTTTGAAACAGCTCGTTAAGACTTATTTTGGATTTTTAAAAACATATGTCCATTTGTGTATTCATGAAAAGGAAAGAGCAAGCAAAATAAATTGGCGAAGGTGGTGATTCTCAATTGGGGGAGATTTTGGTCTCCAGGGGTCATTTTGACAATATTTGGAGGCATTTTTGACTGTCATATTTGTCAAACGTTATTGGCATCTAGTGGATGGAAGCCAGGGATGCTGTTAACCATCCTATAATTCACAGGACAGGCTCCCTGATCCCTCCCTGTACAACAAAAAAGAATGATCTGGCTTAAAATGTCAGTTGTGGCAATAGCAGGAAACCCAAGCTTCAATTATTCTTCAGACCTTGTTCACATTGGGTTTTATTCCTCTGAATCACTTTTGGACTCAGGGTGTCGA